CCAAGGAGCTCATCATATCTTCACCACCTATATCCTACCAGTGGAGGATCAACGCCACTGAACGCTATAACCACTTGAGCTAGTTTATGCTCATAAATAGGTGAGTGGATCATCTGCTGTGAGAATTTTTTATCTACCAATTTGTCGATTTGCAATCTGCACTATTGGAGTTTCTCTGTTTTTCTTACATGTTCATGCACCCACTATTGAACTGAGATACCTTCAACATAAGAAGACCCAGCTACCTATTGAACTCTTTCCATACTCAAGCACTTTTACAGGTTTTATTAAAGACTTTTTAGCACTGGGATTATTTTTCCTGTCTATTTATATATTTGTCTCATTCTATTCACTTTTTTTGTTTATGAGCATATAGCGCAACCTATATATTCTTTTTTTTTCATTCTGAGCACCAGTCTGACCCTATTTCATCCCTAAAACCATGTTTCTCCATTTTCCTATCATGCAACTTTAATATTTATATTTTGAAAATTATACCCATATACAGCCAGATATACACATTATCAGAGCACATACACACTGATGCAGACATTTTGCAGCACAGATACAAGCTTCATTTACACTCAGCAGATACACATTAAACACTCAGCAGCCAAACCCATCCTAACTGTTTACAAACAAGATAAAAAAACACACAGTGTAAAAATATACATGCATCTTGCCACAAATAATCTAAAGATGTAAATGGAGACTGAATGTGCAATATTATTCTAATTTTAGTTTATTTTTTCATGGTCATTTGAGTCTTTTATTTATTTATTATTTGCCTCATTTTAGTTTTGTATATATTTATTTTAATAGTTTGTGTTATTGATGTTATAATGATCTCCAAGGATACTAAGAGAGCTACTTCTGATAATCCCATTACTAAAACAGCTAAAGATGGGAAATTCTTCCATAAGGACCATTAACAAAATATGTTGGATAATTCTGTGAATAAGTAAATCTCTATTGTTATAATGCTTGCAATGTCCTCAATCCAGTAGACTATTGCAAAGTTTATAGCTAAGATTGTATGCCATTCCAATAAACTTGACAAACTATATGCTCTAATCCCAGAAAATCCTTCGGATCAAATTTTGTCAGCAGATAAGTCTACCTGGCTAATGGTTTAAGAAGGTCTGGGAAGGCCACTGATAAATGCAGACATTGCTTTGACAGTCCTTTAGATCAAGCATGTCAAACGGGCCGCATGCAGCCCAAAATGAGTATCTTTGCGTCCAAGGACAGGACCAGCCTACCAGGATACCAGGAAATGTCCTGGTAGGCCACCTGCCCTGGGTCTGTTTTGTGCTGTGGCCTCTCCTGTGGGCTGCAGCCAATCACGTACTTCTGTGACTGTCCAGGGCCCGCAAGAGCACATAAACATTCTTCCACACAGGCCGCCAGATATGCGCATACACGGTATGAAGTCATATCTGGTGGCTGAGCAGCAGCCCTACAGCGCGTAGAGTGGCTGACTGGGTGCAGAGCAGGCCAGCCACTCTCCCTTCCAGTGTATTAAATGGGGGGAGGTCACGGGGGGGTATTGTATTACAGTGGTGGGAGGAAGGACAGTGTATTAAATTGGGAGGAAGGAGGTGGGGCAGTGTATTAAATTGGGGGGAGGGAGATGGGGCAGTGTATTAAATAGGATGGGAGGAAGGAGGGGGCAGTGTATTAAATTGAGGGGAGGGAGGTGGGGCAGTTTATTAAATTGGGGTGAGGGAGGTGGGGCAGTGTGTTAAATTGGATAAGAGGGGGGAGCAGTGTACTAGAGTGGTGGGAGGGGCAGTGTATTAGAGTGGTGGGAGGAAGCAGTGTGTTAAATTGTGGGGAAGTGTATTAATTTAGGGAGAGGGGAGGGAGCCAGTGTATTAAATTAGAGTGGAGGGAGAGGGGGAAGTGTATTAGACTTGGAGGAGGGGGCAGTGTATTAGAGTGGGGGAGCGGTGCCCCCAGAGGCTGTCTATTAGATTTGGGTGGCATAGTAAGTAACTTGAAGAGAAGCTTTTGAATGAATTATATATATATAAGTACCCAGGATTATATATTGTTTGCATGAGAATGATACTAGTAATTTTAGTTTGTGTTGGTCTAGGTAGAACTCTTTTTTTTTTTGCGGCCCACATAAACTTAAACCTTGTTTATTTGGCCCTTGTTAGCCTTTGAGTTTGACATACTTGCACTAGATCAAGCATGTCAAACTCGTGGGCCATGGGCCGCACGCAGCCCACAAGGAAAATCTTTGCGTGTGTGTGAGTGTGTGTCTGTGAGTGTGTGTGTCTGTCAGTGAGTGTGTGTGTGTGTTGGTCAGTGTTGCATTGGGTGCGACTGGACAATGGAGTACTTGGAGGAGCATGGAGGCACGTAACGCCACGTCACATTCAACGTGCTCCACCTTCACAGGGTTTCAAGAAGTAGCGGGAGGATCAGATTTGGCACAGGGTGTGTACGGCGCCATTTGGGGTATGCTAAAGGCCGGACTCCGGAGTCGCATACTGGCAGCGGCAATGTGAGTGGAGTCTGCTTGTTGGCTAGAGGGGGGTGCTGGGATTTAGTAGAGGGGGAGGACTGAGATTTAGTATATGGGGGACTGTGATTTAGTAGAGGGGGGACTGGGATTTAGTAGAGGGGGGTGCTGTGGTTTACTAGAGGAGAATGCTGGTTTTTTTTTTAATACTGTAATTTTCAAAATAAACCTTGTTTCTATGAATATTTAAGGTTTGTTTTTGGGTTTTTTTGCAGCCCACATAAACGTAAACCATTTTTTCCTGGCACTATAGTGCCCTGAGGGTGCCCCCGCCCTCAGGGTCCCCCTCCCGCCCGGCTCTGGAAAGGGGTTAAAACTTACCTTTTTCCAGCGCTGGGCGGGGAGCTCTCCTCCTCCGATCCGATGCGCGCGCATTCAGTCCGTCACATAGGAAAGCATTCATAATGTTTTCCTATGGACGCTTGCGTGCTCTCACTGTGAAAATCACAGTGAGACGCACGCAAGCGCCTCTAGCGGCTGTCAATGAGACAGCCGCTAGAGGAAATAGGGGAAGGCTTAACCCATTCATAAACATATCAGTTTCTCTGAAACTGCTATGTTTATGAAAACATGGGTTAACCCTAGCTGGACCTGGCACCCAGACCACTTCATTAAGCTGAAGTGGTCTGGGTGCCTAGAGTGGTCCTTTAAGTATCCATGCTTTGAGAAAGTAACTTATGTTAGTTTAAATTCCAAATAAAATGTGTAGACACTGATAGTTAAGTTAATCTCATATTGGAGAACAAACTCGATTAAAGGTAGTAAATAATAGTTTTAAAATAAATATAACATAATGTGAATATAGTGTCTGTATGTAAGGATTAGTGTATAACTATTAATCTGGTGTATAAGAGGGAAAAATAGAAAATATAATACACACATAATAGTTGCACACAGAGGACACTGACACAGAAATTAAACCGACGCACACAGTCACATACAGAAGATACTGACACACAAAGGACACTGACACACACACACTTACACACAAAGGACACTCTCCTGACAGACTGATTTGACACACACACAAAAACAGTCTGATGTCCCTTGGCGCTGGGTCAGGTTCTGCCCACGCTCCTCCCCCGCCACACTCGCATAAGGATTTCCCTAAATTATTCAATGCTTTCCTATGGGGAAAAAATCTGACGCTGGAGGTCCTCATACAGAGTGTCAGAAAAGGGACTATAGGTCAGTTTCAATTCCGAAAGTCCCTCTAGTGGCTGTCTGGTAGACAGAGGAGGAGTTAACTCTCAGAGGTAATTATTGCAGTTTCCCAGGAACTGCAATAATTACCACTATAGGGTTAAGGGACATGGGACATTGCACCCAGACCACTTCAATGAGTTGAAGTGTTCTGAGTGCCTACGGTGTCCCTTTAAATAAATGGAACTATGGCTTAGAAAGCCTCTTGACCCTGCAACAAGAAATAACTATGAGCTGTGCCCAAAACTCAAAAATAAGTATGGAAAATCTGGTTTCACTGGTACAAGATACGGCATGTGCATCCCATAAACTCTGATATAGCACTCAGTCTAACTTTTTTGTCGTTTACTTTTGATTTCGGTAACGCTCACTCACTGCACTATAATTATGTTTAATTTGGCCTTATGCCCCTATTGATTTGTTACTGAAAGGTAAGTATCCTTTACTTTACAGACTCATCAAATGTATTTGAATAAATCATATACCATGACCTAATAATCATCATAGATGAAAAGTTAGTCTGATCCTACAAGAAATAGAATCCTGGTGAGATACTTTGTCTCTTAAATTGTTGTCATTTAATCTTGCCATTTTGTTATACCTTGTTTATTTCAAACATGCATATGATGTATGAGCTGTAGGTTTATCTAACATAAAGTTTTCTCCTGATGGTGTTAATTTTCCTATTTGCACACAAAATAAAGAAGTATTGCAATTTTTGTAATACCTCTTTTATTGAACTAACAAAAATTTATAGTGACAAGATTTTGAAAGTTCCTCCCTTTATCAAGTCAAATGCATTGATGACCATAGTGGAACAAGCTAAGTTAGCTGTAAAGCAGAAGTGAAATCAGAAACCACCCAATGCCCTGTTATTTAATAGGTCCCATCCCCATGGTATGGAGCCCTCCAAGAGACTTGGCAGCAATAGTTTTACACACTTAGCAGATATGCCCCACCTGCCAAACGGCAGGAAGGGCTATAGGCACTGGAGCACATACCACGGTCGAGGGGCCGCCCTGTGGACCCCTGCGTCTGGGTACCAGCCGCAATGTTTTGCGGCCCCGGCCAGCGTGGCAAACTGCCGGGGCCGCACATGAAGGGGTCCATCGGGTGGCCCATGCTGTCAGAGAGCCACGCGGGAGGAAGGAGGAGGGAATCAGAGTGGGAACTCCCATCAGGCTGAGCTCCCACTGGACCCCAGGGAAAGTCACCCTCCTCCAAAAGGTAGGAATCAGGAGGGTGACTTAAACCTTTTGTGTGTGTGTCTGTATGTGTGTGTGTCTGTATGTGTTTGTCTCTATATGTATTTGTCTGTTTCATACAGACACACACACATACAGACACATACAGATTGTATGTGTGTGTCTCTGTAGGTATGTGTCTGTATGTGATTAGGTATGCTCCTAAAATTAGGTGCAATAGGGTCCAGGAGTCAAGTCACTTAAAAAGGCTTCTCTCTGTTTAAATAGTTAAGAGGAGTATACAGCTAGTATATATGGGGTGTATGACTTTAAATCTGCTAAAGGCAGAATCAAATTGGTACACACCAAATTGCTCTACTTATAACTTAAAGATATGAGCTGTAAAAAGAAATATAGGAAAACAGTATGAGGAACTGTTTCCTATTTAATAAAAAGCTTATATAATAAGAGATGTGTATATCTTTAAATCTGTGACTGGTGAAATATGACAAAATCTATGCCAATATCACACATTGTAATGTAAACTGAAAAATATAGAAACTAAATGTAAAAGGTATACAATTATACTGTTAAAATATATAGAGCAATGAGAATATTAGAATTAAAATGATATAAAGTTTATTGTGCAATAAAAATGCTAAAAAATATATTCAAATGTGGACAAAAATTACAAATAAAAAATATATATTCAAATGTGGACAAAAATTAAAAATAAGAATCAGGAACGTGTAGCAAGAATGTTACCAGCACTTCAGCAGTCCTAGTCTCAACTGAACCGCAGGGACCATCCAGGATGGATATGGATACAGTGTTGCATTCACTGTAATCTCTGGCTGTCGGCTGTGAGGTTAGCGTGCGTCCCAGACCTCACTCTGAGAGATGCACGCTTGCCGGCCGGTCGGTCCCCAGATGCTTTGGTATCACACTCTCAGTGAGGAGGTGTTGTTTGTTGCTGGTTTGCAAAACTTCTGCGTCCGTATCCTGTTCGGTCTAACGCGTTTCGCGGGTGTCAGCCCCACTTCATCAGAGACGGGATGAAGATTCAGTTGTCCATGTTGAATAAATATACATCTGGCTAATTGTAATTAGTAACATGAGGGTCATTTCTAAAACTATTGTATGCTCGGTATTTAACCCTTAATGCTACAGAGATATACATATAAAAGGGAGAATCATGATTATAAAGAAGAAATAGTTCATTGAAAAAAAAAAAAAATAGATGGTTAAAACTTATACTGTTCGTAAATACATCGAAATGAATTCATAAATGTATCAATGGATATAAAAAATTATCACAGATTGAGAGGTATTCAGAACACATGAATGGAATAAAATAATTTGCTATAAAAACATACATAAAAACAGTATAAAATATGTGTATACATATTGATACATAAAAATAAAGCATAAAAATAAGGCATGATAATCACATAAAATGCTCAATGAAAGGCATACGAATATGGAGTAAATAAAAACGGGAGGAATATGTAATATATATAAAAAGGAGAGGGAGGGAAGTGTGCAAGTTAACCTGATCGTTAAAATAGACAGAGAGAGTGTACAAAAAGGACGGTGAGAGATGCAGCAAAAATGATTATAGTGATTGAATTAAAAGTTGCACTTCCAAAAAATATATTTCCAATAAGGATAATTCCAAAAAATATTTATAGTAAAAATATATAAAAATATTTACAGTAAAGGTATTTACAATAAAAATATGATTATCTGTCTGCAGTAATCTTCTAACATATATATCAATATGGACTATAAACATGAAACTTACATGTATGTGATATAGGGATAACGGAGAATATTTACAGTAAGAGTATTTTTAGTGGAGATGGTTATCTGTCTGCAATGCTTGTCTAGAGTATTGGACTACGATCACCGTACGTGTGGTGTCTGAGTAATGTCGTTTAAGTACAGGAAAACTCGATATTTCATTAGAGACAGATAAAAAGATAAATGGACAGATATCAACTGTCTCGGAACATTACAATATAGGTGGTCCCAAGGTGACTACATTAGAGGAAGGGAAAAGCGGAAGAATTTAATTCGGGGCTAAAACCCGATCTCAGAAGTGTATTAAAAAATTTTTATCACAGGAGATGGTTGTCTACTTACATGTGGGTGATATATAAGTAAGGTGGTTTAAACAGAGGGAGACTTGAAATTAATCAAGGGCAAATAAATACATAGATGGACAGACATTAACTGTCCCAAAATAGTGCAATTAAATAATGTGTAACTTACGATATATGTGGTCCCAAAGTAACTACCATGAAAGGGAGGGAGAGAATTCAAAGAGGGAACCTGATCTTGAAGGAGTGTTATAATTCTGTTTCTACAGAGAATAGTGGTCAACAATAGAAATAAGAAAGAACAAGTACTGTAACAAGTGACTAAAGTGATAGGGAATCTAAGAGGATAGCCAATCTTGACTTCTTATGATATGGGTTATATAAAGTAAAAATCTTACTGGGTATACCTTAGGTTATTAAAGAGAACTTATGAACCATATAGAGTGTAAGTGCATGAAAAAATGAGAGAGTAGAAAAATGAAGTGTCGTAAAAATGAATAAATATAAATAAATATATGTGTGTAGGGTACAATATATACCATGAATGAAAAGAAAAAAAAAGGGACAATTAGAGAAAAGCATTAAGTTCGAAGTCTATATTTAGACCTTTAGGGACAAGAGTCTCCAAATTGAATATCCATCTTGCTTCAATTTGGTCTAAATTTCTTTCAAGGTCTCCACCTCTCCAATGTACGTTTACTTTTTCAATGGGTAGAAAACTCAATCCTGTGGGATCTCCTCCATGGGATTCTTGGAAATGTTTTGAGAGGTTATGCGTTTGTAGTCCTCTCTTGATATTACGGATATGTTCTGCCACTCTAATTTTTAAAGATCTTAGTTCTTCCCACATATTGTTTAGAGCAGGGACATGTAATGAGATAGATGACTCCTGTTGTGTTGCAATTCATGTTTGTCTGTAAATTGTGTTCTTCCATATTAGTTGTGGATTTGAATTTTGTAACTTCTAATTCTAAGGATGGATTGTTTCTACATGCTATGCATTTAGTACATCTTCTGAAGCCTTTCTTAGTTGCTGTAGCGTTACTTACCTTAACCGGGGGCCGGTCGCGGTCCTCTCTTCAAGCCACGCGCGGTCCTGCGGCTGCACGAGCCGCGCGTGGCTCATCCGACTGCTTTAGATGGAAGGCGGGCAGTGACCGCGTGAAGCGGTCACGTGTCCCGCCTGAAACTAAGAGCGCGCCGCGAGTCTCGGGCGCGCTCTTAAAGAGACAGTGGGAGCCTAATTGCCAAAAGGCTCCCATTGGCTCCTGTCATACCACACTCCCTATACAATTACCTTTTGGGGGTGTGGAAGTGACAGGAGCCAATCACTTTCGTTTAAAAGCTATTTAAACTTACCTTTTTCCCTTAGCTCGTTGCCCTATCGTGGTTTCTGTTTCAGTTCCCTTTAGCGCTTGTGGTGTTCAGTTGTGTTTTCTCGTATTGACTTTGGCTTCGTATTCTGACTTCGTTTTCGCTTTATCCTTATCTGTACTGTTTGCCGGCTTGCTGTTTTCCGTGTACCAGACCCCGGTTTGTCCTAGTTTACGCTGTCTCTCTGTGCCCTTGACCTCGGTTTGTTCCTGGCTCTGTCTCCTCTCATATACGTCGAGTCCGGCCATTCTAAGGTCCGGTAGACGTATCTCTCCTCTGTATTGGCTTCTGTTTAGCTGGATCCTGCGTGTAGGGGTATATTCTCGTTACATTACGATAGGGCCATGGACCCCGCAGATTTAGCTCAACAGATGGCGTCCCATGAGGCAAGATTTGTAGAGCAGGATCACCGTATGGATCAGATAGCCCAGGCTCTCCAGACGCTCCTAGCTAGAACCGTTCCAGCAACCACACCTAACCCTCCTACGCCCCTTCTCCCTGAAGTATCTACTTTGCCTAATACTTCGGCCCATTTAACACCTCCTCCTAGGTATGGAGGGGACTCTAAGACTTGCAGAGGGTTTATTAATCAAATTGAATTCCACTTTGAAATGTATCCACGTTCATTTCCCACAGAGAGGTCTAAGGTTGGGTTCTTTATGCACCAACTTACCGATAAAGCACTTGAGTGGGCAAATCCTATTTGGGAAGCTAATGGACCTATGGTACATGATTTCAACAGTTTTCTTACGGCTTTTCGTAGAACTTTTGACACAATGAAAAGGTCAAAGAATGCCGCGAGAGCATTAATGAGAATTAAACAGGGTTCTAGGTCTGTGGCTGATTATGCTATTAAGTTTCGCACTCTTGCTTCGCAGGTAGATTGGACCAACAATGGGTTAACTACTGCCTTCATGGAAGGTTTATCAGATACGATATTGGATGAGGTAGCAGCTAAGGAGCTTCCTATTGCCTTAGAGGACCTTATTGATTACCTCATTGATATAGATAATAGAATTCGTGACAGGCTCTATACCAAGAACAGGAATAGACGTTTTGTTACACCTATTAACCCCAGAGTTAATATACCAGAGAGTGTTAAAGTATCTGAGGAGGAACCTATGCAATTAGGGGTTGCCAAACTCTCTGATACTGAGAAATTACATAGGAGAAGGGAGGGACTCTGCCTATACTGTGGTAGGAGAGACCATATGGTAAAGGAATGTCCTTTACTCCCGGAAAACTCTCGCACCTAAGACCTTATAGGGGACTGGCCTTGGGTGTGATATCTAAGTCTCCTAAATTGCCTCCTAACCGCTTGCTTCTCCCGGTTTCTTTATATATGGGAGAGATTTGTATAGTTGACAACATATATGCTCTGGTTGACTCTGGGGCAGCTGAAAATTTTATAGACTCTGGCTTTATAAAGAGAAACAACATTCCCATCAGAGAGAAGGAGATACCCTTGGCCGTTGAGGCCATAGATGGTAGACCATTAAGTTCTCCAGTTGTTACTCATGAGACTGTACCATTACACATGTACACAGGGGTTTTACACTATGAAACCATTCGATTCCAGGTCATCACCTCTCCCTCTTCACAGTTAGTATTAGGGTATCCATGGTTACGTGCTCACAATCCCATTTTTGACTGGGAGACAGGGCAAATAAAATCATGGAGTGAGGCCTGCCACGAGT